TAATGGAAAAGTACCTGAAAAAGAATAGGCTATGTATATGTACAACTGAATCACTATGCTGTATACCTGAAACTAACAAAACAGCTGTATATCTGAAACTAACAAAATGTTGTAAATCAATCACATTTCAATTTGAAAAAAATGATAAGCTCTAAATACCTTTATTCAAAGAAAATCTTGAACTCTTCCTTCTTACAAAACTTAAAATGGGTAGCTTGAGCAGGACCAAATTATACTGGATGGGCAGTTACATATCTTCTCCAGCACGTGGCCCATGCTACACACGCATCGTGTTTTCCTACAGGTAAGAACAGCCCTGAGTGCACAGGGAGCGGGTCCTTCTGGGACAAGGCCTCTGTGGCAGTGGCCTCCTTGTCACCACTCCATCTCACCAGGAGGCCAGGGTTTTCAGAGGTGAGGGGACATAGAGCTCATACACTTCAAATTGATTTCCCGAAAAAACTATGGAAAAACCAAATTCACCTGCAGTGTGGGGAACATGAGCATGGCCCCTAAGCAGACCGACAAGCCCAAAGTAAGATGGCCCGATGTTCAGATCGGAACCAGAACAACGACCACCTGGCCCCAGTTAAATGACCACCGCCTCACCTGCAATGAACTGCTCGTACTCAATGTCAGGGATGTTTCTGTTGAGACTTGGGAGGTCAAAGGAAACCGACCAGGGAATCCAGACCTGGTTGATGTCGGGGCTCTGCCAGTGGTAGAGGTGGCCCCAAGGGGATAGCACCAGTACCGGCTCCTCCATCTTCAGCAGGGTCTTCAGGAGGAAGGCAATGTGGATGCAGACCTTCCTACGGAGGCTGATGCCCTCTGGAGAGTTCAAGTCACACAGAAGGTACCTGGCAGGGAGCAAAGGAGAGCGGGTCTTCAGGGCCAGGCCTCTGCACAGGAATCCCGTCTTAGATAGAACAGATACAACGGGAATCCCTGCATAGCCCATGGCCTAGACTCCAGACACATTCAGCAGCTTCTGGTTTGTAGAGTGGAGTCACTGCCCACCCATCTCCATGTGGCCAATTACTTCAAGTCCGGGAACAGTTGCGGAAGACATCTTGGCGTCTGTCTAACACCACTAAGCACCTGACTAGCACCTGAGCACCCGTTCTCGAGGGGCTCTCAAACTTCTTGTTCTACAGAACCCTATGCACTCTTAACAATTACTGAGAAATCCAAAAGGCTGTTATTTATGTGAGTTAAATCTATCAATATTTCCTGTGTTAGAAGTTGAATAAGAAGTAAGAAAAAGTGTATGAATTCACTTAAAAATATTAACAATCTACTGTATGGTACCATTAATACTCTTAAACAAAATATAATTCTATTTTTCAAAACAAAAATCATTAGTGAGAAGAATAGCAGTGATTTTAATTTCTGCAAATCTCTTATGGACTGGTGAGAGCTGAATACTCCTATCTGCCTCTGCATTCCCTGTTTTGTGATATCACAGGCCAGGTTTGCCCTGGAAAACCCCACAGGAACTCGGGAGAGCAAGAGTGTGCAAAAGGCAGGTGACATCCCGGCGTTTCTATGAAAATGGTCTTGCACCTCAGTGGCCTTGGATACACTTTGATAACTGCTGCCATATCCTAGGCGAGACTCTTCTGCACTAGAGCCAGGCAAGGGTCCTGTATTCTGTAATGAGTTACGGCCACCACACCCCTCCATTCTCTGTGTGTCTCTCACAACCTCCATTACTGCAGATGAGGATGTAATCCTCAGCCGGGGCCTCTAATCCCAGAAGACTGCTAACTTCAAGAGAGAGGGTCCCAGCTACCATCCCTACACCCCGCATAGTTTATTTTGAGTCAAGCCGTAGATAACTGCTTATCGGCACTGACCCTTGTCTTATTCCTGAGGTTGACTGAAGGAACCAACATCTGGATGGAACTGAAATTTCCCTGCAGATAAACAAGGCTGATAAACCACCCCATTCCAACATCTGATTCTGGGGCTCTTCAAAACCCGGGTAAGGCCCCGCTTCTTCTAAGATGGGTCCTCTGCCTGCCGTTCCAGGGGGGTTCTGGGAGGCCGCGGCCACCAATGGCGACCCAGACTCGCGG